CTAGTTTGTATTGGTGCTTGCCTCAGACACAATATACGTATAACAATACTTAGTAATGAGGTTAGAATTACCGACAAAATGTTAGGTAGATGGACACAGGTGCAACTAACGTGACATTTATTTTGGCAACAATTCGCTCTCCAGGAGCTTTGTCAAGCTCTTATGACTTGAAAAAGCTCCTGGAGATTGAAACATTGCCACAATAAAATGTCAAGTTAGCTGCATCTGTGTCCATCTACCTAACGTATAGCATGAGGCACATGACAAAATAAGATCAATGATGATCACCTCAGTAAGACTGAATTCTTGCAAGGTTATGCGAGTCCTGACTATTTACAAAGCACAAACGTATATGACTTCCGCCTCCTATACCTAATCAAGAATTTTTATCAGCCAATATATTTTTAATGGTCTTAATACTTGTTAAAATTGCCCTATTTCATATACAGTATTGTATTAAGTTTACATAAGGTAATTATTGTGTTGTGGACTAGGCACAAAGGCAGTTTTTGTAGTTTGAATGTATTGTATTAAGTACAGGTAAATTTTTACCTCTTAAATTGACATGTAAATGGTATCTTTGTTCATCTGTGCAGTATGAACTATCAGTAATATTGGTAATCTAACTGACTGCATATACACAAATAACATGCACATAGAAGAAAGAAACTTATGATGACGTTGTGGTCCAACTTGGACCAATGATTCAAGTCGGATCGAAACGTTCCCTTAAGTTTCTTTCTCCTATGTGCGGGTTATTTGTGCAATGTTCCAGTCACAGTATTGTGTCTTTTTGTTCTTCATTCTGCATCTATTCTGCTACATTTATGATTACATGCAGCTAATTCAAAATGCATATTAACCTATAGCAAGATTTTCTTTCGTATGGAAGACATATTGAAGTATTTATTAAACAGATTCTTCATTTAACAACACATTAGCTTATCTAAAACATTTTTTGCCTTATTTTAGTGTTATATATATATATATATATTCAACATATTACAGAAAACATTCACAGAGTACTGCAGGTGTTACACATTAATCTTACTTTGTCCACAAGCCTCTAAATTGGGACTGGCGAAGTTTGAGCTTTTTATTTCTCAAGAATAAAGACGACATTTCTGTATTGGATGGAAAAATCATTACTATTTTTGCAGCTTTTATGTATTTTTATAACCGGTTAACTTATTTCCTTCTGTATTCCCCTTGTGTACTCTGAGGTGACCTCCATTTTTTTTTTTTACTTGTTTATTGCAAGAACTAAGTATCTTCTGTACTTTGATAAACAAATCTGTATAAATATATCTTTGGCTACTAGTCGATGCTGAACACATCAGTTACCACTAACACTGGGAATTTGTTTATTACACCTAAAACTCCATTTCTTATACAGTGGAACCTCAAATATCGAACTGCCTCCAACTCAACCAATTATTTAAGTGTATTTTTGTATGTGCTTTTATAAGTGTATTTTTGAGGGTCTGAAATGAACTAATCTAATTTACATTATTCCTGATGAGAATAAATTCGTTCGGTAACAGCACTCGAACAGCTGTCTGGAACGAAGAAAGTTCGATATTTGAGGTTCCACTGTAATTCGCCAAGTCACTCTTCATTTGATTACCACGTCTTTATCCACTGGCACCATTTTCTTTGTAAGAAACAAAGTTTATAAGAGATTACCCAATGGCACAGCAAATGCCAAATATATATTTTCTCTGCAAGCTGAAATAAAGAATAAATCTAAAGAAAAATAAACTGAACTTCGATACAACAGTTTGTGCAAAAAACACTGCACACAAGATAGCATAATATACCCAGAGTATATATCACATGCAGAAATAATGCATTGTAATATTCAGTCCAATTTTGGACACTAATACATAACACGATCCACAGATGTGCAATGAGCACTCAAAAGTGAGGTTGGTTATCAAAAAGTTTCCTTAGGAACTCACAAAGAAAATGTGCTTAAAAAAATTAAAAAGTATTCAAACTATTTTTTTTACAAGAACAAATGCAGCAGGTAAACCTTTTGCCTGCACATATGGATATCCAAAATTTTAGTTCCTCACAAAGTGTTCTCAGTACTGTGGGAATCACAATGAAGTGCACATTATGAACTAATGAAGAATGAATCAACAAATATAAATAGCTATCTTTAAATTGCTTGAGGTTGTTCGGGGATCAGAGATGTGAAGAAAGCTGTTAGGAATGTCCAAGAGAGCACCAGAAACGAAGGTCGCACGGGTATTTCCTCGACCACCCTGTCAGTGCCTTCACTTTCTACAGTTTCATTGTTGACACCATTGTCTTGATTGGCATCAACTGTTACTGCTGCCACTTCCTCCTCCTCCTCCTCCTCTTCCTCTTCCTCTTCCTCTGCCTCCTGATTTCTAAGTCCCTCTGGTATCTCATTATTGTTATTGTTATTATTAATGTTGTTATTTCTGTCATCTTGAATATTATTTGCGTCGTTCTCGTTAGCTGCTTGAGGTTGCTCTATTCTTCGTGCAGGTCTAAACCAGCCAGCTTGATATCTGTGAATAAACAAGAGACAATGGTAAGGCAAAATTAACTTGCCCTCTCATTACATTACCTTCGTTAAATATTATAAGACATAAAATAATGTGCAACCGCCCAGGGAGGTACTACCATCCTGCCAAGTGAGTGTAAAATGAAAGCCTGTAATTGTTTTACATGATGGTAGGATTGCTGGTGTCCTTTTTTCTGTCTCATAAACATGAAAGATTTCAGGTACAATTGCTACTTCTACTTACACTTAGGTCACACTAAACATGCATTTTTTTTTTTTTTTCAACAAGTCGGCCGTCTCCCACCGAGGCATATATACAAGCATATATATATACACCCCTCTGGGTTTTCTTCTATTTTCTTTCTAGTTCTTCCTCCGTAAGCCATACGTGTTGTAAGAGGCAACTAAAATGCTGGGAGCAAGGGGCTAGTAACCCCTTCTCCTGTATAAATTACTAAATTTAAAAAGAGAAACTTTCGTTTTTCTTTTTGGGCCACCCTGCCTTGGTGGGAAACAGCAGATTTGTTGAGAAAAAAAAAAGTGATACATTGAGTATATAGCCTCTCCTCACTTAATGATTTAGTTCCATTCCTAAGACCATTTAGGTAAACGAATTCGTCGCTAAGTGAGGAGCATACTATAATGGAAGTGGGTTTGTGTCAACTATCTTTGATATTGTTTTAATGTCACCTTTGCACCATTTATAACATTTCTGGTATATTTTAAAATATTTATACAGTAGCATACTGTATATTGTAATAAACAGAATAGAGGAAATCAGCTCTAATATACAGTGGACCCCCGCATACCATCGGCATCACATAACGTTCAATCCGCATACCGCTTGCTTTTATCGCAAAAATTTTGCCTCGCATACCGCTCAAAAACCCGCTCACCACTCTTCGTCCGAGACGCGTCCAATGTGCGCCCTTAGCCAGCCTCACATGTGCCGCCGGTGGCATTGTTTACCAGCCAGCCTCCGCGGTAACATCCAAGCATACAATCGGAACATTTCGTATTATTACAGTGTTTTTGGTGATTTTATCTGCAAAATAAGTGACCATGGGCCCCAAGAAAGCTTCTAGTGCCAACCCTACAGCAATAAGGGTGAGAATTACTATAGAGATGAAGAAAAAGATCATTGATAAGTATGAAAGTGGAGTGCGTGTCTCCGAGCTGGCCAGGTTGTATAATAAACCCCAATCAACCATCGCTACTATTGGTGGTACAGCTGCTGCTGCTGCTGTACCACTGTCAGCTGCTGCTGCTGCTGCTGTAGTACCGTCTGCTGCTGCTGTAGTACCGTCTGCTGCTGCTATATCATCGTCTGCTGCTGCTGTAGCACTGTCAGCTGCTGCTGCTGTAGCACTGTCAGCTGCTGCTGCTGTAGCACTGTCAGCTGCTGCTGCTGCTGCTGTAGCACTGTCAGCTGCTGCTGCTGCTGCTGTAGCACCGTTGTTGGTGTGGCTTATTGAGAATACCAAGAAACAATTAACCCCAGAGGATTTGCCACCCAGGATAACCCCAAAAAGTCAGTGTCATCGAAGACTGTCTAACTTATTTCCATTCGGGTCCTTAATCTTGTCTCCCAGGATGCAACCCACACCAGTCGACTAACACCCAGGTGAACAGGGAAAAATGCCTGGAACTAGTGCTCATATTGGTGAATTTAAAGCCAGCAAAGGTTGGTTTGAGAGATTTAAGAATCATAGTGGCATACACAGTGTGATAAGGCCTGTTCTGGAAGAAAATGCCAAACAGGACCTACAGTACTCAGGAGGAAAAGGCACTCCCAGGACACAGTGTCTCATCAGTCATTGCTGCATCTTCAATAAAGGTAAGTGTCATTTATTCTTCATTTAGTAGAGTAGTACATGCACAATATATATTGTGCATGTACTACTCTACTATTGTGCATGTATCCTTCTCTTTGTGTGTAGGAAAATGTATATTTCATGTGGTAAAAATTTTTTTTCATACTTTTGGGTGTCTTGCACGGATTAATTTGATTTCCATTATTTCTTATGGGGAAAATTCATTCGCATACCGATCATTTCGCATAACAATGAGCCCTCTTGCACGGATTAAAGTCGCTATGCGGGGGTCCACTGTACATTATATAGGTATGTATACTGGTCAGAGAGCCTGATGCAAGTTCGAGATGTCAGTAAATGAGCATGCGCTGAGTTAGGAGGGGCTGTACAGTATTTGTAGATATTAAAATAACCCATACATGATTAGATATTGTTTGCACTTAATACAATATCTGGATATTTCAATGATATGGGAGAATTCTTTCGTGAAAAATGTGAGTGAAGCAGCATGGACTTTGTTGTTGCTATATTTGTAAAAAATGTAGGTGAAGCATCATGGACTGTTGTTATATTTGTAAAAAATCCTAAATCCATGAGGGCCATCCAACACAAAAGACGTGCTACTCTCATAGCCAGATACATCTCTCATTTGTAATGATAAAAATCCGGTTTTCAAAAAGCTTTTAAAAAGCAAGACTTAGTCTGTACAGTCAAGTTCAATTCCCTTAATTTCTCATCATATCCAAGGTTGGAGGGAGGAGGTAAAGGAGGTTTTGTGTGCGAGGGGCTTGGACTTCCAGCAAGCACGCATGAGCGTGTTAGATAGGAGCAAATGGAGACAAATGGTTTTAGGACTTGACGTGCTGTTGGAGTGTGAGCAAGGTAACATTTATGAAGGGATTCAGGAAAACTGGCAGGCCAGACTTGAGTCCTGGAGATGGGAAATACAGTGTCTGCACTCTGAAGGAGAGGTGTTAATGTTACAGTTTTATAACTGTAGTGTAAGCGCACCTCTGGCAAGGCAGAGATGGAGTGAATGATGGTGAAAGTTTTTCTTTTTCGGGCCACCCTGCCTTGGTGGGAGACGGCCGATGTGTTAATAATAAAAAATATGTAATAAAATAATCCAAGTCTTCTCCACTAGAGAACTTTTCTGGTTACAAATCTACAGATATAGTTTATCATTCAACACGATCAGGTGTAGGGACCAAGTAGGTGCTGCATACTTTAAGATGGGCTTGACATATAATGTGTATAAGATCCAAAATTTTCTGTCTCATGAACATGCAAAATTTCAGGTACGTCTTGCTACTTCTACTTACACTCAGGTCACACTACGCATACATGTACAAGCGTATATATACATACCCCTCTGGGTTTTCTTCGATTTTCTTTCTAGTTCTTGTTCTTGTTTATTTCCTCTTATCTCCATGGGGAAGTGGAACAGAATTCTTCCTCCGTAAGCCATGCGTGTTGTAAGAGGCGACTAAAATGCCGGGAGCAAGGGGCTAGTAACCCCTTCTCCTGTATATATTACTAAATTTGAAAGGAGAAACTTTGGTTTTTTCTTTTGGGCCACCCCACCTCAGTGGGATACGGCTGGTACGTTGAAAGAAGAAGAAAGAAGATCTAAAATGAAGGTGTCATAATTGCTCAGATAATTCTTAGATGAGCCAGACCAACTTATCCCATGCCACAAAAGTTATTCAGTCGATATGCACCTCTGGTGATTGTTTGGCACTATGTTCACTCTAATACCATCCTTGTTAGCCACTCAGCTAACAGCCTACAAAGTATCCATGTTCCACAAAATTATACCCATAAAGTTTTTCAATTTGGACTCACACAGTAAAAACATTAAATGTGTTGACTCATTCCAATAATATATTATATACAAATAATATTGTAGTAAATACAATAGTCTATTATTAAAATATAGTACAATGTATTACATAACTTACCTATGATGATGATGGTCTTCCATGGGAAGTATCAGAATGATTCCTCTGTAGAATCATCTGGCTGAAGTTAGTGTTGAGTTGGTGACTGTGTACTAATTGCCACACTTTTCCCGACTTTTCATTTTCCTCACGTACCATAGTGAGTTAATTTATACCATGTCTACCACCAGTGATTGCTAACTCACAAACAATCATGTCTAATAACTACTTTCCTGTGCCATTTAATTTCATTACTAACTTCTTAACATGAGCAACCTAGCCACTGCTATGGCTATGCTCAGGGGCCTTAATAAACACTGGAATACTACCCTAATACAAATTGAAGAGAATGAAGGGGTAATCACTAACATTTTAGGCTCAGCAAAGCAGCAAACATCAGAGGGCTGAAATGCTCAAACATTGTTGCTGAACTGACAATAGCAACTCAAAATGGAGATGGTGTGGGGATAATGTGGGGGTTGGTGAATAATGTGGGGGTTGGTGAATAATGTAGGGGTTGGTGAATAATGTGGGGGTTGGTGAATAATGTGGGGGTTGGTGAATAATGTGGGGGTTGGTGAATAATGTGGGGGTTGGTGAATAATGTGGGGTTGGTGAATAATGTGGGGGTTGGTGAATAATGTGGGGGTTGGTGAATAATGTGGGGGTTGGTGAATAATGTGGGGGTTGGTGAATAATGTGGGGGTTGGTGAATAATGTGGGGGTTGGTAAATAATGTGGGTGTTGGTAAATAATGTGGGGGGTTGGTGAATAATGTGGGGATGAGGTTGGAAGAGAATGATGACTGATATTAAACTAAATTATCAATTAACCTACTAAAAAAATGAACATCAGCTGAATAAGCATTACTTACAGGTATAAGAGCATGGCAATGGCAACAACTATCATGAACCTGGAGAGAGTCGAGTAGAAGTAGACGATCGATAAGAGAACCAGCATCCGTGATAATACATAAATCCAATCTAACCAATCACGGCCCATCCCTTCATCATCGTCATCATCCTCCACTTCTCCACCTGTTACAAAAAAGTAAACTGTTATGGAGCAACAAATTACCATGCTGGAAAACAGCCAATATGGCAGAAAAAAATAATCTCACTTGCCCTAAAACATGTTAACAAATTGGTGTAAGCAGACAAGTGTCAAGAAAACAGGTTTCTTGTTTTATTAAATTCAATGTATGTATGTATATACAATGTATTTGACTTATCCATTTGTGGTTACAGTAGAACAATACTAATGATGCCAGATTAACCAGGTTGTGATGGATATGTGGGTTAACGGGTCACTAACAACAACAGCCTGGTTGACCAGGTAAACACCAGACGAGCCTGGCCCATGGCCGGGCTCCAGGAGTAGAAAAACTCAGAACTCATGAAAGGTATATCAAAGCTTAGAAAAGTTCTCAGAACTCAAAGGTACATACCAGAGCTATGTATTATAATATTTCCACTGGTTTTGGAAACATATTATTTCCTCTGAGGAGCCAATTTACAATATCAACCACTATTTGTGAATCTTTATTTCCAGATGTTTCTTCTCTATCACTGTTTACTTGAAATTCTAATTTCACTTTCATTACTGATTCCACAAAATCTTTAGTTTTCATACATAGTCCTTCTCTCATTAGGCACTTTATTTCATTCTCATACTCTACATGCTCAGTATTTCCGCTCCCTTATCGCCATCTGTCTACACCATTCAGTCTAGACTTTATTTCCTGTATACAGGAGGGCTCCGCTTTACAGCACTTCACTTTACAGCGTTTTGCTAATGCAGCGGTTTTCGATTATACACATTCTTCACTTACTCAGACACTTCCTACAATAAATACATTCACAACTCACTATAAGCTAAGGATGAAAATATTTTAAGGTAAGTAATGTGTGTACTGTATATGTATTTTTATTGCCTAGCTCTACTGTTCTATATGATAGTGTAAACATGTCATCAGGCTTTTATATGCATTTGAAAGTTAAAAGAGACTTTCACTTTACAACGATTTTCACTTTATAGTAGTAGGCTGAACCTAACCTGCTATATAAGCAGGGCCCACTTGTATACCAAAATCATCTGAAGGACTGAGTCTGATTTTCTACTCTGCTCTAATTTCATTCATTTGCTAAGTCACAAACCTCTGGAAACTCAGTTACATAAATTATAACCATTATCAGAGCCAGAACAGATCCACACTGGAGGGGATTAAATCAGTGACTATGCCCATGAAAACATTCTCTTATAAAGTTCTCACTGTAGGTAGTAGGTTGGTAGACAGCAACTGCCCAGGGACGTACTACTGTCCTGCCAAGCAAGTAAAACAAAAGCCTGTAATTATTTTACATGATGGTAGGATTGCTGTCTTTTTTCCTGTCTCATGAACATCAAAGATTTCAGGTACGTCTTGCTACTTCTACTTACACTTAGATCACACTACACATACATGTACAAGCATATGTATACACGCCCTCCTGGGTTTTCTTCTATTTTCTTACTAGTTCTTGTTCTTGTTTGTTTCCTCTTATCTCCATGGGGAAATGGAACAGAATTCTTCCTCTGCAAGCCATGCATGTCGTAAGAGGCAATTAAAATGCCGGGAGCAAGAGGCTAGTAACCCTTTCTCCTGTATACATTACTAAAGTTAACAAGAGAAACTTTTGTTTTTCTTTTTGGGCCATCCTGCCTCAGTGGGTTTAGCACTCTCAATGGAAAGTGCTAAACCCACTGGGGATTACATATTTAGTGCTTGGGGAATGGGAGGCAATCAAGTTTGACCCAAGGAAATGAAGGCAAGCTCCAATTCCTGGACTCTAAGAGCCCTTCACCAGCATATCAGCTCTTTCATATCAGTTCTTTGAAGAGTTTTGAGAGCTTATCTACTCTCTGAGCCTGGCCATGGGCCAGGTTCATCTGGTGCTTGCCTGGTCAACCAGGGTGTTGCTGCTGGAGGCCCGCTGCTCCACATATCTATCACAGCCTGGTCGATCTGGCACCTGGTGAAGATACTTGTCCAGTTTTCTCTTGAAGATTCTACACTAGTTCCAGCTGTGTTTCTGATATCTTCTGGTAAGATGTTGAATAGTCTGGGACCCCAGATGTTGATACAGTGCTCCCTTATTGTCCCCACTGCACCCCTGCTCTTCACTGGGTTTATTTTACACTTCCTCCCATATCTCTCACTCCAGTATGTTATGGCAGTGTGCAGATTTGGGACCAAGCCCTCGAGTACCTTTTAGGTAGTATATATTATCATGTACCTCTCTCTCCTCCGCTCCAATGAATACATGTTCAAGACTTGCAGATGCTCCCAGTAGTTTAGGTGCTTTACTGGCTCAATGTGAGCTGTAAACAATCTCTGTATTTGTTCCAACTCAGAAGTTCTCCTGCCTTGAACGGGGCCATCAGCACTGAGCAATATTCTAAGTGAGGGAGCACTAGTGATTTCAAGAGTGTCACCATTGGCATTATTTCCTTGTTTTGAAAGTTTTCAATACCCACCCTGTCATCTTCCTGGCTGTCGTGATCTTTGTCTTGTTTTATTTTATTTACAGTGGACCCCCGCATAACGATGGCATCACATAGCGATTTTTCCGCATACCGATTACTTTTATCGCAAAATTTTTGCCGCGCATACCGATTAAAAACCCGCTTACACGATTTTCGTCCGAGACGCGTCCAATGTGCCCTCAGCCAGCCTCACATGTGCCGGCCGTCCCATTGTTTACCAGCCAGCCTCCGCGGTAACATCCAAGCATACACTCGGAATATTTCGTATTATTACAGTGTTTTCGGTGCTGTTTCTGGAAAATAAGTGACCATGGGCCCCAAGAAAGCTTCTAGTGCCAACCCTGTGGTAAAAAGGGTGAGAATTAGTATGGAAATTAAGAAAGATTTTGAAGGGTTTGGGGCTAACCCTGAGAAGCCTATGCCAGTTGTGGAATCCATTGTGCCTACTTCAAAGATTAAGGAAATGTTGTGCACAGTGGGTTGAACTGCAAACCTTTATAGATGAAAATCACCCTGACACAGCTGTTGCAAGCCGTGCTGGTGACTATTTCAATGACAATGTTGTGGCCCATTTTAGACAAATCGTAAAGGAACGGGAGGTACAGAGCTCTATGGACAGATTTGTTGTGCGACAGAGGTCCAGTGACTTCAAGCTGGTCCTAGTGGCATTAAAGAGAAGGGAAGTAACCCCGGAAAAGGACTTGCTACCTCAAGTCGTAATGGAAGGGGATTCCCCTTCTAAACAGTAAGAAGATAATGCTCTCCCTCCTCCCAATCCCATCAATCATCACCAGATCTTCAATAAAAGTAAGTGTCATTTAATTGTGCATGCCTTTTTCAGTTTGTGTGTTTTAAAAATTAACTTTTCATGTGGTAAAAAAATTTTTTTTCATATTTTTTGGGCGTCTTGCACGGATTAATTTGATTTCCATTATTTCTTAGGGGGGGAAAAAATTCATTCGCATAACGATTTTTCGCATAACGATGAGCCCTCTTGCACGGATTAAAATCGTTAACCGGGGGTCCACTGTATTATCACACTGGCCGATTCCCACCAAGGCAGGGTGGCCCGAAAAAGAAAAACTTTCACCATCATTCACTCCATCACTGTCTTGCCGGGAAGGGTGCTTTACACTACAGTTTTTAAACTGCAAATTAACACCCCCCTTCAGAGTGCAGGCACTGTACTTCCCATCTCCAGGACTCAAGTCCGGCCTGCCGGTTTCCCTGAACCCCTTCATAAATGTTACTTTGCTCACACTCCAACAGCACGTCAAGTATTAAAAATCAATTGTCTCCATTCATCCTATCAAACACGCTCACGCATGCCTGCTGGAAGCCCAAAAAGCCCCTCGCACACAAAACCTCCTTTACCCCCTCTCTCCAAACCTTTCCTAGGCCGACCCCTACCCCGCCTTCCTTCCACTTACAGACTGTACACTCTTGAAGTCATTCTGTTTCGCTCCATTCTCTCTACAAAGTCCGAACCACCTCAACAAACCCCTTTCCCCAGCCCTCTGGACAACAGTTTTGGTAATTTCCCCCACCCCCCTCCTAACTTCCAAACTACAAATTCTCTGCATTATATTCACACCACACATTGCCTCAGACATGAAAATCTCCACTGCCCCAGCCTTTCCTCGCTGCAAACATTCATCACCCATGCTTCACACCCATATAAGAGCGTTGGAAAAAACTATACTCTCATCTTTCCCCCTCTTTGCCCCCAAGGGAAAAGTTCTTTGTTCCACAGACCCCTAGGTGCACACCCACTTTTTCCCCCCTCATCAACTATATTCACCCACCCCTTTCATAGACCCATCCGCAAACCGTCCACTCCCAAATATCTAAATACTTTCCACCTCCCCATACTCTCCCCCTCCAATCTGACATTAAATCTTTCAATCTTTTTTTTTTGTTATCCTATAACCTTACTCTTTCCTGTATTCCCCTTTAAATTTTCTTCTTTTGCACCCCCTAAAAAAAATTCATCCCCAATCTCTGAACTTCTCTTCAAACTCCCAAAGCCAGTGTCATCGCAAAAGAGCGCTGTGAAAACTCCCATTTTTGGTGTGATTCTTTATTTTTTAAAAAACTCAACGCCCTTCCCAAAGATCCTCGCATTTACTTCTCTTAAACCCATCTAAAATAAAGTTTTTTAAACAACCACGGTGACACACACCTTTTTAAGGCCTTTTTTACGGGGGAAAAAATTTTCCCTCTTTCCCCATACTCTAACTTGAGCCTCACTACCCTCGTAAAAACTTTTTCACTGTTTCAGTAACCCTACCTCCTACACCAACCTTGCAAACTGCCACTTGCCCCCCTATCCACCCTGTCATACGCCTTTTCCAAATCCATAAATGCCAAAAAACCCTTTTACCCTTTATCTAAATATGTTACTTTATGTTTCATGAAAACACCGGGTCCACACACCCCCTCCTTTTCCAAACCCTCCTTGTTCATCTGCTACCCTATTTTCCAGTTTCCCTTTTAATTCTTTCAATAATAAACTCTACCATACATTTACCAGGTATACTCAGCAGACTTACCCCCCTTTAAAATTTTTGCATTTCCTATTATCCCCTTTGCCTTTATAAAAAACTATGCATGCTCTTGCCAACCCCTAGGTACCTTAACTTTTTCCCATCATTTTTTTAAAAAATTGCCCCAACCACTCCAAAACTTAAACCCCCCCTCTTTTAACTTTCTATCTTTTTCCATCAATCCCGGCTGCCTTACCCCCCTTTTATTTTTCCCACTGCCTCACAAATTCCCCCACACTCCAACTGGGTCTTCCTACTTCTACAAGATGTTATCCTCCCTTGTCCTATACAGAAAACAGCTTCCCTATTTCATCAACATTTAACAATTCCTAAAAATATTCCCTCCATCTTCCCAATACCTCTAACTCTCCATTTAATAACTCTCCTCTCCTATTTTTAACTGACAAATCCATTTGTTCTCTAGGCTTTCTTAACTTGTTAATCTCACTCCCAAAACTTTTTCTTATTTTCAAAAAAAATTGTTGATAACATCTCACCCACTCTCTCATTTCTCTCTTTTTACATTGCTTCACCACTCTCTTAACCTCTCTCTTTTTCTCCATATACTCTTCCCTCCTTGCATCACTTCTACTTTGTAAAAACTTCTCATATGCTAACTTTTTCCCCCTTACTACTCTCTTACATCATCAATTCCACCAATCGCTCCTCTTCCCCCCGCATCCACTTTCCTGTAACCACAAACTTCTGCTGAACACTCTAACACTACATTTTTAAACCTACCCCATACCTCTTCGACCCCATTGCCTATGCTCTCATTAGCCCATCTATCCTCCAATAGCTGTTTATATCTTACCCTAACTGCCTCCTCTTTTAGTTTATAAACCTTCACCTCTCTCTTCCCTGATCCTTCTATTCTCCTTGTATCCCATCTACCTTTTACTCTCAGTGTAGCTACAACTAGAAAGTGATCTGATATATCTGTGGCCCCTCTATAAACATGTACATCCTGAAGTCTACTCAACAGTCTTCTATCTACCAATACATAATCCAACAAACTACTGTCATTTCGCCCTACATCATATCTTGTATAACTTATTTATCCTCTTTTTCTTAAATATGTATTACCTATAACTAAACCCCTTTCTATACAAAGTTCAATCAAAGGGCTCCCATTATCATTTACACCTGGCACCCCAAACTTACCTACCACACCCTCTCTAAAAGTTTCTCCTACTTTAGCATTCAGGTCCCCTACCACAATTACTCTCTCACTTGGTTCAAAGGCTCCTATACATTCACTTAACATCTCCCAAAATCTCTCTCTCTCCCTCTACATTCCTCTCTTCTCGAGGTGCATACACGCTTATTATGACCCACTTTTCGCATCCAACCTTTACTTTAATCCACATAATTCTTGAATTTACACATTCATATTCTCTTTTCTCCTTCCATAACTGATCATTTAACATTACTGCTACCCCTTCCTTTGCTCTAACTCTCTCAGATACTCCAGATTTAATCCCATTTATTTCCCCCCACTGAAACTCCCCTACCCCCTTCAGTTTTGTTTCGCTTAGGGCCAGGACATCCAACTTCTTTTCATTCATAACATCAGCAATCATCATCGTTTCTTGTCATCCGCACTACATCCACGCACATTTAAGCACCCCTTTTTTATAAAGTTTTTCTTCTCTTTTTTTAGTAAATTCTCAGGAGAAGGGTTACTACCCTTCCCCCGGGCATTTTAGTCGCCTCATACGACACGCATGGTTTACGGCTTTTGTTTTTTAAAGAAAGTCCGCTGACAAAATTCCTAGGTCTTTTACGGCCCTTAGTTCTATTTGGTGACCTCTGAGTTTTGTATATAGTGCTCTTTTGATTCTTCATTCTTTCCAAAACTAAGAAGTGGAAACTCATCCCATTGTACGTCATGGTTGTTTCCACTGCCCACGAAAAAACCCCTGTTTATGTTTCCTGTACTTTTTCAGTGCCTCTCCATACTGACTTTCATGCTTATTTAGCGTCATCTCAAAGTGTACAAAAGTGTGCGGTGTTTTTTTCTATGTCTGTTTATGAGGATGAGGAACACAAATGCCAGGACAAGTGCCTTGAGGCCTGAGCTTTTGACCTCGCTGATGCGGATTTGCCCTGTTCATTTATTACTTTTTGTGTTCTGGTGTTAGGGAACCGAAAACCCATTGCCTACCTTCCCCGTAATGCCTTGGCCTTTCATTTGTGCGCTATCCACTCCATAAATCGCCTTTGCAAAATCTGTTTTAATCACATCTGCATTGGTCGTTTCCAGTGCCTCCGTATTCTGTCTAATGGTTCAGCAGCTGTGACAGACAGGGATCATCCTGCTTTTTAAAACCTGCTGGTTCGGGTTATTTGGTTGTGCTGGTCATGAAATTTTAATCTTGCCGTCCATCACTCTTTTGAAGATTTTTATGATGCGAAAGGTTAGGGCTACTGGTCTCTAATTTTTAGCTAGTGTTCTACAACCTCCCTTATGCAAAGGAGCTATGTCTGCACTCTGGTATTTCACCTAGATCGAAGCTCTTTCTCCAAAGAATACTGAGGGCTCGTGTTAGTGGTACCTTTGCACTTTTTTATAAATGAGCTTTCCCATGAATCGGCTCGTGTTAGTGGTACCTTGCACTTCTTTATAAATAGAGCATTCCATGAATCTGGCTCGTGTTAGTGGTACCTTGCACTTCTTTATAAATAGAGCATTCCATGAATCTGGTCCAAGTGCTGAGTGAGTGGGCATGTTATCCATTTCTTTTTCAAAATCTATGGAATTTGTACTAATGTCAGTTAGTTGGTCTGCACAGCCTTCTTCTGGAGTGAAAGCAACAAATTTGAAAGGAATGGCTGCCAATAACACAAATCACTAACAGCACAAGAGTATATCAAACTGGTGTACTGAGAATGTTACCAAAGAATACAAAGAGAAAAGGGATCCCATTTCAATCCTTCTATGCATAACAGTTGGGTATCTTTATTATTGAAATGCTTCACCTACACAGTAGGCTTCTTCAGTCAGATACAGAAGCAGCAGGTGTAGTAGTAAAGAATTTGACTGAAGAACCCTAATGTGTAGGCAAAACATTTCCACAATAAAGATACCCAACTGTTGCACGTGTCTTACTCGTCAACTTGTCGGTATTTATACCAGTTTCAGTAACACTATAGCAACAAATCAGTAACCATGTACCTTGTGCATTCATTCTAATCAACTGTGGTTGCTGCTGCTGTTGGTCAGCAGGTTCAATCTGAACCTGTTGTTGCTCAGTCTGGTCTACAGTTGGTGCTGGCAAGGTTGCTGTAGGTGCAGCAGTTGTGGTGGATGTAGCAGGGTTTGGTGCTGTAGGTAGCTGCACCATTTGTTGTGGCCAAGCAATACCACCACCACCTCCACCACTGCCTCCACCTCCACACATCTGCATACTGCAATGAAAAGACAAAAATCAATGAGTTCTAAATTTTTATATTTTTTACATCGGACATTTCCCACCATGCTAAATATATGTTTCCCATATTATCAGAACATTTTTAGAGTAAGTCTCATGGGTAAATGCTGGACCCAAGAAGAATATATTAACCAAGGACATGATGGGTAAAAATTAAAATTACAGTGTCAATTTATAGTCAAAACTCAAACATTCCTCTACATCTATACACTGATTACTAATTGTGTATTAAGGGTATATTAAGGAATATATTACACAAGAGAGAAAGCATACATTTAAATTTTCATGTAATATTTTTTTTTTATTAACACACCGGCTGTCTCCCGCCTAGGTAGGGTAACCCAAAAAAGAAAAAGCACTTTCACCATAATTCATTATCACTGTCTTGCCGGAGGTGTGCTGATACTATAGTTGAGATCCCCTTGCAAACTGCAAATATCCCCACATGCATGGAAAACTATATGGGCAATGTGACATTTAACTCGGACTTACAACAAAGCACATACACAAGCAGTCCTAATATTACCTAAGAAGTTTCCAAACTGACACTTCAAAAATTTCATCAATAATGGTATTATCATGACTCACAAAACTGTAATAATGCGAGTGCAAACAAATCACAGAATGGGCAGTGCTCGAACCCATGGCAAGCGAGTAATAAAACTCACAGGCAAGTGTGTTAACCACTTGGTCAGCTGGTTGACCAAGTGGTTAACTGGCCTGCGAGTTCTAGGGCTCACTTGCCAAGGATTTAAGCCCCCACTCATTCTGTGATTTAATGATATTTACTATATTCGAAAGCAAGCACTAAATCTGTATGGGTAATACAAACAGTTGTAATATTACATTTTGGATAAACACAAAGCACACCAACAGCTAGAGTGCAACACATTCATTCATTAGAGATTTGCCGGTACTTCCGGCCCGGGTCTTCTCCAGGTGGTGACCCAGCGGTGACCCAGTGCAACACTTCAACAAAATTATTCAAGAAATGAAAATCAGTAAACATTCCAAAATAACTTACTATTGTATGTATGCCATATAATGTGCATACATCTGCTGTAGAGCAGCCATCTGTTGTATAGGGTCTGCACTGGCTTGAAGCATTCCTACTGGCATTTGAGACTGGGATGGATACGCAGAAGTGGCATCTATGCTCTGTGGTGCCGACACAGACATGTCACCGTTGTTAGCCACATTCCTGCGACGAAGTCCATCTGTAGAATAGAGGTGAGCATTACAGTACACTGTACTTCCTGCAAGCCATATGGCACTAAGAAAAAGTGCACCTTCAGTGCACAGAAGGAAAGTGCACAAACAACGCACCTTAGATAATGTTGCTACAACAAATGCTGATATCCATCTAAATTAACATGCCATTTAGGGCAGGGGTCCCTAACCTTCGGGTGCGACAAGAGTCCTAATGAAAAACACAATTCTGTTTATTTTACCAAATGTATTCTAATTGCTCAGTTTATAAATATGAACTAAAAGCTCATTTTTTTTAGAGTTCAACTTGTTCACCCACAACACTGTATTGGGTTCCTTTGGGTGTGGGGCATAGAAAAGGTTGGGAACCCAATTTAAGGAATGTGTTAAACTTGTGAAGCCCATATGGGAGTGAAAGGTAATGAAGTAGTACCAATTCCTTGGATCAAAATCCCTCTACCAGCATCACAGAATCCTTTCCCCTTTCAAGGGATAGTTAATTTCTTAAAGTGAGTTTAGTTTATTTTACAATTTGATCATCATACAGTATTATCAAGATTATTCCTGTTAAATACATTGTCTTGCTACTTCTACTTACACTTAGGTCACACTACACATACATGTACACATTTATTTATACACACTCATCTGAGTTTTCTTTGATTTTATCTTAAAAGTTCTTGGTCTTATTACTTTTCCTTTTATATCCATGGGGAAGTGGAATAAGAATCTTTCCTCCGTAAGCCATGCGTGTTGTAAAAGTCAACTAAAATGCTGGGAACAATGGGCTAGTAACCCCTTTTCCTGTAAAGATTACTAAAAAGAATAAGAAGAAGAAAATTGTCAAAGTGGGAAGTCTGAATGTGCGTGGATGTTGTGCAAATGATATGAAAGAGATGATTGTGGATGTTATGAATGAGAAGAAGCTGGATGTCCTGGCTTTAAGTGAAACAAAGCTGAAGGGGGTGGGAGAGTTTCAATGGAGAGGAATAAATGGGATTAGGTCAGGGGTTTCAAATAGAGTTAGAGCTAAAGAAGGAGTAGCAATAATGTTGAAGGATAAGCTATGGCAGGAAAAGAGGGACTATAAATGTATTAATTCAAGGATTATGTGGAGTAAAATAAAGATTGGATGTGAAAAGTGGGTTATAATAAGCGTGTATGCACCTGGAGAAGAGAGAAGTGTAGAGGAGAGAGATTGATTTTGGGAAATGTTGAGTGAATGCGTGGGGAGTTTTGAATCAAGTGAGAGAGTAATGGTGGTTGGGGATTTCAATGCTAAAGTGGGTAAAAATGTTATGGAGGGAGTAGTAGGTAAATTTGGGGTGCCAGGGGTAAATGTAAATGGGGAGCCTTTAATTGAGCTATGTGTAGAAAGAGATTTGGTAATAAGTAATACATATTTTATGAAAAAGAGGATAAATAAATATACAAGGTATGATGTATCACGTAATGAAAGTAGTTTATTAGATTATGTATTGGTGGATAAAAGGTTGATGGGTAGGCTCCAGGATGTACATGTTTATAGAGGGGCAACTGATATATCGGATTATTTAGTTGTAGCTACAGTTAGAGTAAGAGGTAGATGGGAAAAGAGGAAGGTGGCAACAACAAGTAAGAGGGAGGTGAAAGTGTATAAACTAAGGGAGGAGGAAGTTTGGGTGAGATATAAGCGACTATTGGCAGAAAGGTGGGCTAGTGCAAAGATGAGTAGTGGGGGGGTTGAAGAGGGCTGGAATAGTTTTAAAAATGCAGTATTAGAATGTGGGGCAGAAGTTTGTGGTTATAGGAGGGTGGGGCAGGAGGAAAGAGGAGTGATTGGTGGAATGATGAAGTAAAGGGTGTGATAAAAGAGAAAAAGATAGCTTATGAGAGGTTTTTACAAAGCAGAAGTGTTATAAGAAGAGCAGAGTATATGGAGAGTAAAAGAAAGGTAAAGAGAGTGGTGAGAGAGTGCAAAAGGAGAGCAGATGATAGAGTGGGAGAGGCACTGTCAAGAAATTTTAATGAAAATAAGAAAAAAATTTGGAGTGAGTTAAACAAGTTAAGAAAGCCTAGGGAAAGTATGGATTTGTCAGTTAAAAACAGAGTAGGGGAGTTAGTAGATGGGGAGATGGAGGTATTAGGTAGATGGCGAGAATATTTTGAGGAACTTTTAAATGTTAAGGAAGAAAGAGAGACAGTAATTTCATGCACTGGTCAGGGAGGTATACCATCTTTTAGGAGTGAGGAAGAGCAGAATGTAAGTGTGGGGGAGGTACGTGAGGCATTACGTAGAATGACAGGGGGTAAAGCAGCTGGAACTGATGGGATCATGACAGAAATGTTAAAAGCAGGGGGGGATATAGTGTTGGAGTGGTTGGTACTTTTGTTTAATAAATGTATGAAAGAGGGGAAGGTACCTAGGGATTGGCGGAGAGCATGTATAGCCCCTTTATATAAAGGGAAAGGGGACAAAAGAGACTGTAAAAATTATAGAGGAATAAGTTTACTGAGTATACCAGGAAAAGTGTACAGTAGGGTTATAATTGAAAGAATTAGAGGTAAAACAGAATGTAGGATTGCGGATGAGCAAGGAGGTTTCAGAGTGGGTAGGGGATGTGTAGATTAAGTGTTTAACATGACTTAAGAAATCGTAATGACATGATTGCAAATAAACCATACCCCCGGCCGGGATTGAACCCGCGGTCATAGAGTCTCAAAACTCCAGCCCGTCGCGTTAGCCACTAGACCAGCTAGCCACAATAAGATTCATCCAACTAGGTATATTTCTACACCATAGGAAAGTTAGCACAGGCACCTCTGTGACCACAAATGCAAGTTTTTACAGACGAATCTCCAACTAGGTTGGATGAATCTTATTGTGGCTAGCTGGTCTAGTGGCTAACGCGACGGGCTGGAGTTTTGAGACTCTATGACCGCGGGTTCAATCCCGGCCGGGGGTATGGTTTATCAAGTGTTTACATTGAAGCATATATGTGAACAGTATTTAGATAAAGGTAGGGAAGTTTTTATTGCATTTATGGATTTAGAAAAGGCATATGATAGAGTGGATAGAGGAGCAATGTGGCAGATGTTGCAAGTATATGGAATAGGTGGTAAGTTATTAAATACTGTAAAGAGTTTTTATGAGGATAGTGAGGCTCAGGTTAGGGTGTGTAGAAGAGAGGGAGACTACTTCCCAGTAAAAGTAGGTCTTAGACAGGGATGTGTAATGTCACCATGGTTGTTTAATATATTTATAGATGGGGTTGTAAAGGAAGTAAATGCTAGGGTGTTCGGGAGAGGAGTGGGATTATATTTTGGGGAATCAAATTCAAAATGGGAATTGACACAGTTACTTTTTGCTGATGATACTGTGCTTATGGGGGATTCTAAAGAAAAATTGCCAAGGTTAGTGGATGAGTTTGGGAATGTGTGTAAAGGTAGAAAGTTGAAAGTGAAGATAGAAAAGAGTAAGGTGATGAGGGTATCAAATGATTTAGATAAAGAAAAATTGGATATCAAATTGGGGAGGAGGAGTATGGAAGAAGTGAATGTTTTCAGATACTTGGGAGTTGACATGTCGGCAGATGGATTTATGAAGGATGAGGTTAATCATAGAATTGATGAGGGAAAAAAGGTGAGTGGTGCGTTGAGGTATATGTGGAGTCAAAAAAACGTTATCTATGGGGGCAAAGAAGGGAATGTATGAAAGTATAGTAGTACCAACACTCTTATATGGGTGTGAAGCTTGGGTGGTAAATGCAGCAGCGAGGAGACAGTTGGAGGCAGTGGAGATGTCCTGTTTAAGGGCAATGTGTGGTGTAAATATTATGCAGAAAATTCGGAGTGTGGAAATTAGGAAAAGGTTGTGGAGTTAATAAAAGTATTAGTCAGAGGGCAGAAGAGGGGTTGTTGAGGTGGTTTGGTCATTTAGAGAGAATGGATCAAAGTAGAATGACATGGAAAGCATATAAAATCTATAGGGGAAGGAGGTGGGGTTGGGGTCGTCCTCGAAAGGGTTGGAGAGGGGGGTAAAGGAGGTTTTGTGGGCAAGGAGCTTGGACTTCCAGCAAGCGTGCGTGAGCGTGTTAGATAGGAGTGAATGGAGACGAATGGTACTTGGGACCTGACGATCTGTTGGAGTGTGAGCAGGGTAATATTTAGTGAAGGGATTCAGGGAAACGGTTATTTTCATATAGTCGGACTTGAGTCCTGGAAATGGGAAGTACAATGCCTGCACTTTAAAGGAGGGGTTTGGGATATTGGCAGTTTGGAGGGATATGTTGTGTATCTTTATACGTATATGCTTCTAAACTGTTGTATTCTGAGCACCTCTGCAAAAACAGTGATAATGTGTGAGTGTGGTGAAAGTGTTGAATGATGAAAGTATTTTCTTTTTGGGGATTTTCTTTCTTTTTTGGGTTCACCTGCCTCGGTGGAGACAGCCGACTTGTTGAGAAAAAAAAAAAAAAAAAAAAACATTGGTATATAAGGTATATACACTGACTTGTGACTCTATAATTTGTATGTGATCTGCAAAATAGGCTCTTTACTAATTACAAATACAGTGGACCCCCGGTTAACGATATTTTTTTCACTCCATAAGTATGTTCAGGTGCCAGTACTGACCAAATTTATTCCCATAAGGAATATTGTGAAGTAGATTAGTCCATTTCAGACCCCCAAACATACACGTACAAACGCACTTACATAAATACACTTAATAATTGGAGCATTCGGAGGTAATCGTATGGGAGTCATGTATAAAAAATATGAATATTTTTTTAACACGCTGGCCATCTCCCACCAAGGCAGGACTCACAAAGAGGAACACTTTCACCATCATTCACACTATCACTGTCTTGCCAGAGGCACATAGGTACAACAGTTCAGATGTTCCTCCAGAAAGCCAAACACCCCAAACCCCTCTTAATGTGCAGGCATTGTCCCTTCCCCCCTCAGGCCCTAAAGGCCCAGGTCCGGCTAACCGATTTCCCCTGAATCCCTTCACAAAATATTACCTCACTCACATTCATTTATTAATAATATGAAGAGAATAATAAGAAGGGAATGCACAAGAGTATAGTGGTACCAATGCTCTTATACAGGTGTGAAGCACGGGTTGTAAATGCTACAGCGAGGAGGCAGCTGGAGGCAGTGGAGATGTCCTAAGGGCAATGTGTGGTGTAAATATTATGAAGAAAATTTGGAGTGTGGAAATTAGGTGTGGAGTTACTAAAAGTATTAGTCAGAGGGCTGTTGAGGTGGTTTGGTTATTTAGAGAGAATGGATCAAAGTAGAATGACCTGGAGAGCGTAAAAATCTGTAGGGGAAGGAAGGCAGGGTAGGGGTCATCTCCGAAAAGGTTGGAGGGAGGGGGTAAAGGAGGTTTTGTGGGCAAGGGGCTTGGACTTCCAGCAAGCATGCGTGAGCATGTTAAATAGGAGTGAATAGACAAATGTTTTTTGGGACCTGACGAACTGCTGTAGTGTGAGCAGGGTAATATTTTGTGAAGGGATTCAGGGAAACTGGTTAGCTGGACTGGAGTCCTGGAAATAGGAAGTACAATGCCTGCACTGTAAAGGAGGGGTTTGAGATATTTGTAGTTTGGAGGGACACAAACTGTCATATCTGAGTGCCTCTGCAAAGACAGTGATTATGTGTGAGTAATGGCGAAAGTGTTGAATGATGAAAGTTTTTTCTTTCTTTTTGGATTTCTCTCTCTTTTTGGGTCACCCTGCCTTGGTGGGAAATGGCTGATGAGGCAATAAAAAAAAAAAGAAGAGATTTGGAGCTGGGAAGTACAGCTATTGTGTTATGGGCCCAAAACCATTATACTTTTATAATTTGTAAATACTATAATTTTTTATAATTTGTAAATATAACTTTGGTAAAACTGAATTCGAGAGCATTGTGTGCTCTGAATAATACTGAAAGAACAGTGAAGAAATTTAAAAAGGGTGCAGTGATGAGAAATGTATAAATCAGAGCAGAGGAGTGCCGGATCACCCAGGCTGTAATGGATACATGGGTCAGCGGACCACCAGCAGCATCAGCCTGGTTGACCAGGCAAGCACCAGACATCCACTAAGCATGACAAAACTCCCACAGCTGAGCTTCCACAAATACAAAAGTGCAACTGAGAGTTCAATTCCATTATCTAATTATTGCTCACTACATAAATGGTTGTTTAATATATTTATAGATGGGGTTGTAAGAGAAGTAAATGCGAGGGTCTTGGCAAGAGGCGTGGAGTTAAAAGATAAAGAATCACACACAAAGTGGGAGTTGTCACAGCTGCTCTTTGCTGATGACACTGTGCTCTTGGGAGATTCTGAAGAGAAGTCGCAGAGATTGGGATGAATTTGGTAGAAGTGTGCAAAAGAAGAAATAAAGTGAATCAGGAAAGAGTAAGGTTATGAGGATAACAAAAGATTAGGTGAGAAAGATTGAATCAGATTGGGGAGAGAGTTGGAGGAGGGTAACGTATTCAGATATTTGGAGTGGAGTGTCAGCAGATGGGTCTATGAAGATGAGGTCTGAGTCATAGAATGATGGGGAAAAAGAGTGAGTGGTGCACTTAGGAGTTGTGGAGACAAAGAAATTTGTCCTTGGAGGGAAAGAGGGGAAAAAAGTATGAGGTATAGTTTTACCAAAGCTTTTATATGGGTGTGAAACGTGGGTGATGAATTTGCAGCAGGAGAAGGTGGAGGCAGTGGGATGTCATGTTTGGGGGAATGGTGGTGTGAAAAATGCAGGAATTCGTAGTTTGGAAGTTAGGAGGGGTGGGGATTACCAAAAATGTTGTCCAAGGGTAGGAAGGGTTGTTGAGTGGTTCGGACATGTAAGAGAATGGAGCGAAAAAGAATACTTCAAAAGTGTATCGTTGTGTGGAAGGAAGGGGGGGTAGGGGGGCGGCCCAGGAAGGGTTGGAGGGAGGGGGAAAGGAGGTTTTGTGTGCGAGGGGCTTGGGGCTTCCCCAGGGATGCGTGAGGTTTTGATAGGGGTGAATGGAGGGCAAATGGTTTTTAATACTTGACGTGCTGTTGGAGTGTGAGCAAAGTAACATTTATGAAGGGATTCAGGGGAAACCGGCAGGCCGGACTTGAGGCCTGGAGATGGGAAGTACAGTGCCCTGCACTCTGAAGGAGGGGTGTTAATGTTGCAGTTTAAAAACTGTAGTGTAAAGCACCCTTCTGGCAAGACAGTGATGGAGTGAATGATGGTGAAAGTTTTTCTTTTTCGGGCCACCCTGCCTTGGTGGGAATCGGCCGGTGTGATAATAAAAAAAATAATAATAAATGCTTTAGTAGAATTATTTGATCTAGGCATCCCTTGTCCTGTTTAAATCCCTTTATTACAACATTATAATTTCTTAAAGACAACTAATTCATCTAGGATATCCTTAAAACACTAAGGAAGCATTTGTATACCAGAAGATATCAGAAACACTCCTGGGACAAGTGTAGAAGTCTTCAAGAAGAAATTAGACAAGTATCGTCACCAGGTGCCAGATCAACCAAGCTGTGATGGATATGCAGGGCAGTGGGCCACCACCAGCAAAAGCTTGGTTAACCAGACAAGCACTAGATGAGCCTGGCCTATGGCCAGGCTATGGCCAGCCTATGGCCAGGCTCTGGGAACTCGTCAAAGGTATATCAAAGGTAAGGGTACACATTATTCTAGTGATTATTCTTGAAACTTACTTTTTCTCTAAAGAATACGGTAGCTGCTAAGTGCCAATGACTAATTCCTTACCAGGAGGTGAATCATTATTTACAGGGGTGTCCTGTGAAAACCCAGTTTGCTGAGGGGTAGTTCTCTCTGCATCTCTGTCTGGATTCATGTCTGATGGTAGCTGGGAAGATGACTGTGTGCCCACTGATGATGCTGGTAACTGGGGAGATGACTGGGTGCCAACTGATGAAGACTCAGGCGAAATCTGCCTTCTCTGACTACTCGAGGGTGATGTCTGCGAGCTTGCTGACGTGTTTACAGAGTTACGATTGGGCGAGCAAACTAGATGAATTGTATAAGCGTTATTTTCGGTAGGGTGTCGTAAAACATTTCTTAATAGTAGATCGTCAAGCAGCAACTGTCCTGAATAGATGAGACGCTGTTCATCCACTTTCTGTGAAATTTAAAGATAGGCGATTTAAATATTTTGCTGTAATAATGATTGTTATAATATTCATGGAGAAGTATTACAGCCACAGGGATCAGCACTTGCTGAATGGGTGATAATCAGGTCAGATACAGGGAGAGGATAAATCCAATTCCTTGGAGCAACATCAAGGATAATAAATGAATAGAATAAGACTGAATGAGTGATGGCAACAGATATTTCATCAGAATACCGTACCTCGGTGGAAGACGGCCAGTGCTAAAAAATTTCACAGGCCAGCTGATAATACAAGAGATATCTTTTTACTGTTTTTAAATTAGTTCTTGTTTCAGTAGACAACATTAGCCTCTTTTACATCCGTTAACCCTGTCGCACTTTTTTTTTTTTTGTATGAAAAAATAAATTTTTCAGGGCGGTCGTTTACCAATATGGGAAGAATATTAGAAAAAGTATAATAACTATGCTTATGTTATATGGTAATTCTATTTGTCTATCATTCACACGCCCAAGTCTTACAATTTATACTCAGGGACATATATTTATGTTTTTTTTTAATTACTATTAGACAAATCCTGAACTGTGAAGATCCATAGCAAGCAGTAGGCTGTACTAGATGTGATTATAGGTTTCATGTCTAAATGTATACAAGGGATACAAAGATACAGATTTTTACAAACACAAAATAAGGAAAAAATAACTATAAATATCAACTTCAATCATCAGCCTGAGATAAAATTTTGTACTCATGGTTACATCATACCAACATCCCCCAATAAAAAGCAGTGGTGCCATGAGTATGCTAAGAAAGAACACAATAAGTGTCAGGGGCACAAGACTATTCAACTGCCTACCAGCATACATAAAAGGGATTACCAATAGACCCCTGGCTGTCTTCAAGAGGGAGCTGGTGAGACACCTAGAGTCAGTACCTGGCCAGCCAGGCTATGGTTCATATGTTGGTTTGCATGCTGCCAATAGTAACAGCCTGGTTGATCAGGCCCTGATCCACCGCAAGGCCTGGTCATGGACCAGGCCTTGGGGGCGCTGACCCCTGAAACTCCCTCCAGGTACACCCCTTTTAATATGTAGGAAAATCTAAGCAAAACTGGTTAGTGACAATGTAGCCACCAAGATGATGATAATGCATTATCAGAGAAAGGCTGAAGCACCCATTTTCATTTATTATCACTACAGATAATAGAGAAACCTAACACCCACTGGTACCCAGTCCATGCCAGTTGGGGGGGGGGGGGAAGCGGCCAATAAGCCAGTTTCCCCATTTGAAAAAATCAATTTTAACAGCCTACATTTTATCAGTGGAGAAAGATCTCAACCAGTATTAATTTAATATTAGATTTTATCAGCTTAATGAAGGCAGCCTCCATGCTTGATGAAGGCAGCCTCCATGCTTAATTTAATAAACATGGAGGATGCCTTCGTGCACAACCTTTACTAATCCACAAATTTCTTCCAGATGATACAAACTACAGTGAAATTGTAAATAAAACAAGGAGGGTAGAGAATCAATTTCACATTAATTTCCCCACTCAAGTTCGAACAGAGGCGCCTCTGTAACATATTCGCTAACTTACAATTTGCTTTGTGTCCACATTAACTCACGATTGTACTACTGACCACTTGTGTACACCACACAGGTATACTGTGTAGGAACTAACCCTGGTGTAAGTGGAAGTATTTGCCAACCATATCTCCCACAGGTGCTCACCACAGCTGGCCTGTTCCCATTAAACAATGTTGCCATATTACAAACATTTCATTTACTGTATTATGTATGGTAAATCTTCCTGTAAACCCTTATTCATAGATTTTTTTGTTTAATCTTTTTAAAATGTTTATTATTAAAGAGTTGAAAGTAGTTAAAAATGAATATAAAAATGCAAAGTTTGTTTAAATAAATATTACATTAGCCATATCTTGGCAAGGTAGAGCAACCTAGAGCAGGAGAGTTCCATTATGAGACTTATTTAACAGCAATATTTTCACTCATTCTTCAAGAGTGCCAATTAAGAATGTTTTTTATAGCACTTACACAAATTTCAAAGATTATCATTAACTATTTCCTCAATTATTCAGTTAATATAAACTAGAGAATTACAACCTTAAAAATTTTTCTTACCATCCTTGTTCGATTGATATTCCAATTTTTCTAACATTTATGCAAAATCATAAATACAATGTATGTATAAGTACCTATAAAAAAAATGTAGTGAAACTTAGTACACAGTGAAAAGTGAAACCTCTTAACATACTCTTTTAAAATACACAACTCATTAACTTTAAATTGTCCTCATAAGGAAATTAAACTCTTATAGCACAAAAACACTTTGAAGATACATTAAGCTTCACAGGAGCCTTAGAATATACCTATAAATGTCAATGATTTTATTCCAATTTGAGGACTTGATCAAGGTTTGTCATCCATAGATAGCACTGGAAAGCTGGATGATACATTCCAGTAGGAGAAAGGGTACGGGAATTACAGTGAGCGAGGGACCAAGGGAACATTCAGTTCCCATACATGCACAAGGTATAGCCATCTTGAATCAGCCACACTATTCAGTTACTGCAAAATGCAAAAACCATCTAGAAAGCCTCCCTTGATATCAATGTCAAAACTAATAGTTATGCATTTGCTTGGGTTGAATTCCATAAAAAAAAAAAAAAATCAGAATGCCACCACATATGACAGGATGCAATGTTGTAGCCACCACCATACAAGCTGTATGCTGTAATCATGAACTAATGCCCAAATGCAATGATAACGCAGTACAATGAAAATGACGCCTAAAGGAAACCAAAGCTAACATGGGAAAAAAAAATTTATGTTCCGTAGTACAATACAGTATGTGAACTAACTTTTATACTGTATTATGTTTCAACAATTGGTGCCTGGTAAAGGCCCTCCCCCCAGTGGGTTTAACAACACAGAAATAAAAGTATCTCTTATCCTAATTTTTCTAGTATCACTTGTTGACTTACGCACATACCTTTTTGGGTTTCGAGAGTCTTTCTACTCCTGAAGCCTGGCCACGGACCAGGCTGAAGTATATCTGAAGGGCATTCCAGGGACCAAGGCACCCTGCAGCCCAGCCCATGACTCTTATTCCAAAACTGTCACTATTCTCGTGATACCTCATGGCAAATACTTTTATATAAAAACAATTATATCACCCTAAGTAACAGGCTAATGTTACTCCAGGTAACATGAATATTAGCAATGAGTTACATTTAAACAACCAAAAACCTAGGACATATAAACAAACTGAAATTTCACACTAATGAGAATGTAACAGTAATTTGGTAAATTTAGGGTTATGCCCTAAGTAATCAACTAAGAGCATAAAATATGTACATGTAAATAATTTAGTTACATTCTAAAAACATTAAGCTGGTGATAATTTGCTCTGAAATCTCTTAAATAGCTGTGAACTCTTGTGTGAAAAACAGTAACTATTACCTTTGTTCAAAATGTCACTAGTTACTTATGCAAAAATTCTTCAAGACTGCTGCAAAAAATCAACAAGTACTTTTAATATTAGAAAAAGAAAAAAAGATAATCACTCACTGGTTTAGAAGGATGAACAGATGATAAATGATCCTTAAGATATAGTACAGACCAATTCAGGTCACAGTCCATGCGTTCGTCTGGAACGCTCTGATTGGCAGCTTTAATGATCAAAGTCACATTCCCTTCCATCTGCCAGGTGAAACAAATTTGCTGGTGTTAGAGGGAAGTGGAGGCAAATAGTTTTTATGACTTGACATGCTGTTGGTGTGAGCAAAGTAACATTTATGAAGGGATTCAGGGAAACTGGTTAGTCGGACTTGAGTCCTGGAGGTGGGAAGCATATTGCCTGCACTCTGAAGGAAGAGTGGAGATATACTGCAGTTGTTGAACTGCAGTATCAGCATGCCTCTGGCAAGACAGTGATAGAGTGATGATGAAAAGTGTTTCTTCTTCAGGTCACCTGCCTTGGTGAGAAACGGTCGATGTGTTAAAAGAATATATATATATATATATATATGTATACAAATTCATCTTGCAATTCCAGTACTGATGCTGGAAAGCAACAGGAACTTGGCTTTCACTGAAAGGCGTGTATTCCACCATGAAACAATGATTTGTCTCTTCCTATACCTTTAATTATATACAAGTTTTGCATGTTTAACACTAAAATCAGCTTCATGAAGTCCAAAAATGACTGCAAAAACCGAGGATAGTGGACTGGCAACCAGTTGCTCAAACATAAGCAGCTATTGAACTGTCAGTATAACATGCTCGTACAATACAAACGAAGTGAAATCACAACACCATGGCTAGAGCAATTTCAAAACCACTAATTCAGGGAGGTAATTTAAGATGTTTCAATCCATCCTTGACTATTATCAAGCCATGAATTGATAACTGTCCAGGATAGACCAGGATATAATTTTCAGTTCTTTCTCTGAATTGTGGGTCAGTTGAAAAATGCCAACACATCCCTTCTGAATGAGTAAAACCTCTCAGCATCTCTCAACTTTCCTCTAACTCTTCCTTAACCACCAACAGACCTCTGGCTGTCTTCAAGGGAAAACCTGTTAGGTTCAAATTATACATGAATGGTATACAATACAGACAAGATGAAGAGTTAGACACATGTACAGCATCTGGGTATCTTTATTTGTAGACATTTCACTGTATCAATACAAATTCAAAGACATAATGGGAAGACTGTAGAACTCATACAGGTGCTCCTTGACTTACGATATTTTGACTTTATGATGGTGCAAAAGCAATTACAGCCTCTCGTCACTTAACGACGGAGTTCCGTTCCTAAGACCACATCAGTAAACGAATTCGTCACTTAGCGAGGAACCACTACTTACTGATACTTCAAGCATTTATAACAACTATTTCAAACATTTTATTCTGAATATATAAAAGGTCTAAAGGAAACTCCAACTTGATAACTTTGTTGTAATTTGCATAACTTTTACATATTACAGAAAATTGTAATTACTGTACAGTATAAAAAATATACTAAAAAAATTCACATTACAGTATAAAAGGACATTCAAATTAACATTTTAGTCACTGAATCCTTCAGAGTACTAGTTCAGGGTCGTCATCGTCATCAGGGTTATCAGATGTAGAGGGCGTGGGTAAGGGAGATGATGGTGAGGAAATGGAAGAACTTGTAGAGTTTAGCACAGGAGTCCTGGGCGTAACATACAATACCGACTGGTCGAAGGGCCAGTCATAACTCCAAGTGGTTGGTAAACAAGTACATCGCTAAGTAAAGAGAGGCTGTACTTTGGAGGTGAATCTCAAGATAATTACCCAGCATGAAGGCGGCAAGTCCGTAACCTGTGTACATTTATTTACATTTCCATACAGGTATTTAGATACAGTAGTAATTATTTGTTTATTAACTTATTCAGTGACAGTAGTTACTTATTTACTTATAAATTTAGCAGATCATTCATATTTAAATTATATTTCCGACTTATGATGGGTTCGTTGGATCATGACCCCATTGTAAGTTGAGAAGCAGCTGTACACAAAACATGACGCTGAGGGACTGATTACCTCGTCTTTTGTATGTAGTTCTACAGTCCTCCCATTATGTCCTTGAACTGTATTGATAAAACCACTGGATGGCAAAACGTCTACAAATAAAGATATACGCAGCTACTGTACATGTCTAATTCTTCAGACATGTCAGTTCCGACAGCCGGGTTTTAAGGTGCATAACGGAATCATGGGGCTGCACCAACGCCGGGTTGATCAAGTCATTGCCAAGCTCCTGGGGCAGAACTTTTCCCCATTAGTGTCGGAAATAAGAGATCGCACGGGCTGGGAACGCACACATATTGTCGCACTTCAAGACGTTTATCGAGGGAATCTGACCTCAAGTGATGACTTTTCAGTCCGCGAAGAAAAATCATTTGAAAAAACCAAACTTTGATGAAATAAGTCGCTCGTGAAACATTTGGGGAAACCCTTTACTTTGGAACGTTTCCAAACCAGTGCTTATCATTTCAATAAGAGAAGAATGGTTGAAGATCAAAAGTTGAGGTAATCAGCCCCTCCAGGCTGGGGGGACTGTTACCTCAACCTCCTTTTAAAATTTTCATCTATTTTCCCCAAGGGGGGGGGGAAAATTTTGCCCACACAGTGGCTTCCTCATCCAATACAGAAAAGACTGAAGTCAGTTTGGGAAATCAGTCCCAAAACCCTGAAAGAACTGATTCCCCAAAAAACTCCTTAAAAACATTCTTCTCTGTACGGACTGGGAACCCAATGATCGGCGAAACGTTCCCACAAAAAGTAATGACTTTTCCCCAAAGTTTTAAATTTTTTCAGCCTGTGTTGAAGTTTCTCTCCTGTTACGAAATGTACCGGGACATATTTGAGGGGTTTTTCATGGGGCATTTTACATAGTTTTTGAAATGAAAGATAATAAAAATAAATTTAAAAATAGTGCAAAATACATTTTTTTGCGAATTATTCGTTAATTTTAAGGTTGAGGAGTGGTGGGGAGGTGAGCCACTACTCCCAAAGTTAAAACCCCACCTGCCCACAGTACCTATTCCAGCACTTGTACGCCTCACCTAGTTCCTCAGAGGTTGGTGTGTGCGAACGGGTGCTGGAGAGTGATGGTGGTGCTGGGGACAGAAAATTTTGAAAAAGATGTCGGTACCCCCTCCCTCAGCTGCCCACATTTGTTAGTAAAAAAATTTCCGTAAGTTTCTTTTTTATTTTTTTGGGTTTTTTCATTTCCTACAATTTTTTTGGCTTTGGATTTAAAAGCAGTTGCATAAATCTTTAAATAAATACTGTGTAATTTTACCTCGGATAAGTTATATATTAAATAAAGTGTTTTTTTTTTCCTAGGGTGATTTTCTCACATATCTGACCAAAATTAGTATATAACCTCCTAAAAATACTCATTATGTGTAGGGAAATTTATTCATAAATGTTTGTTTTAATTTTCAGATAAAAGGAGAAATATTTGAGGGAAGTGTGTGTTTTAAGAGAGTTTTAAAAATACATGTAGATGAGAAGTAAGGTATCAGGGATGGTTATGTCTCAATTTATTGGTGAAAATTTTTCTTTGACGATGACTCTTTTCCCTTCCTCATCCACCACCCCCGCCATTTTAAAAACCATTCTCACTTTGGGAATCTTGATTTTGGAGCGTTTCGCCATAAAGGGGCATCAAGGCCCACACGGGAAATATGCAACTCTTCCTTATTTGGGATTATTTTGGTAATCTGTATATATTAAAATTTTTTATAAATTTTTTATTATATAAATATATTTTATTATTATATATATATATTATATATTTATTATTTTATATATATTATATATTATTATATATTATATATATATAATATATTATATATAATATTATATAATTTTAATATTATTATATATTTATAAATATTATAATTTTTAAATATATATTTATATATATATATATTTTTTTAAAATATAATTATATATAATATATGAATTTTATATATATAATATTTTTAAATATATATATATATTATAAAATTATTATTATATATATGTTGTAATATTTATAATATATATATAAATATAATATATATATAATATAATAATATAAAATATATATATATATATAATATGTTATATTAAAAATTTTAATATATATATTATTATTAATATATATATATTTTATTTATATAATTATATATATAATTAAAATATAATATAATATATGTTTAAAAAAAAACCCAAAGGGGGGGTTTAATGATGCTTGGGGGCCTTTTCGTGTTGCAATCAATACATTATGGAGTTTGAATGTTGCAGAAAAGAGATGCCCAAAGCAAAAAAGATCACGTAGGGAAACTGTCTTATTTTTTCTCTCTTTTATTAAGCCTTTAAATTTTTTTTTATTTTTGGGTTGCGAAAACCCCGAAGGGTCGGTGGTGCCGGGGGAAGCAAGCAAATAGATAAAAACAAAGGGAAGGTCAACAAATTTTTCTCAGCTCAACCCCCCTTCGCTACAGACCCTTATAAAAAAATAATAATAATAATAATAATAATAATAATAATAATAATAAAAATCTTTATTTTACAATACAGATACAACTTAAAAAGACCATAGTATATAAAAAGCTCCTTGTTATGCATAGAATCTCGAGCAAATTAGGTTAATGTCCCAGGATGCGACCCACACCAGTCGACTAACACCCAGGTACCTATTTACTGCTAGGTGAACAGGGACAGCAGGTGTTTTAAAAGGAAAAACACCCAATGCTGTGGGCAAAATACTATGAGCGAAAAGATGGTCCCAGAGCATATCTGACACAAGTGCAAGGGGACCAAAGATCCTCAACGCCATCCCCTTCACCAGGGGAGGGAACACCCCCCACCCCCAGAGTTATTTTTTTCCTCTTAATAAACAAAGAACAGTGCACAGTTGGCACTCTCATGCCTAGTGGCACTGGATGCCACATGTCGACAGTGCCCTTCGACCGGGGTCCTCACTAGAAAAAACCGGGTAGAATCCTGGGCGTGGGGTTGAGAGGTTGGAGCAAGTCCTCGGCACCTACTGCACCTGTCACTTGGCTGTAAACAGGTCCGGGAAGTAGGTCGACGGTGTGGGCCGAAATGTGCTGAATACGAGCAAATACGATTTGCTGGGGGGAAGGTTGTAGATAATACAAAAAATAATAAAATAATAAAAATAATAATATAAT